GACTGCCATAAAAATGTGCTACCAGCCAGCAAGCCGAGCAGAACTGCCTCCTCCCAGCTACAAAGAGGTGGCATTAGCTCAATGTCAGCTCCCTCTGTCCCCTCACAGGTGCTTCTGTGAAAAGGCACATGAACTGAATAGCTGGGACCCAGAAAGGGAAGAATGCATTTGGGAAGGAAGGGACCCACACCCACTGGCTGCAGGACCAGGTCAAACTGCCTGCTGGCTTGGTTTTTTGTTTCCTTTTCCTTTTGATTATGATAAACTATTTTGGCTTTCCACTTCACAATTGCCATCAATGAAGAAAAACTCCACACTGAACTCAACTACACATTTTACCACATCATTTCATCATTGAAGGTAGTAAAAGTGAAAAGGAGAACCAATATTTTCCAGCTCAGCATACCAGCTATTTGTTTCTGAAGGGCAAAGCCTCCAACCAAATCACTATTTGTAATTCATTTATCTGTTTAACATTGCCAAGTTCAATGCAAAGATGACATTTTGAAAGGTTAGGGGGGAAAGGGGACCACAGAGAAATGGAAATGGGTAATACCATGAATGTTTTCTGCAGCATTTTTCTTTGACGCAGCAGTTGGTCCTGCACTGGCATGTAAGCACTATAATATTAGACACCTGGAATGTGAGGAATGTCTGATAACCATAGCCTAGCACATGGATAATTCCACAGCCATAAACCAATGATATGACCTTTGCCATTCCCCTGGAAAGCTCAAATGCAGTGACATTATGAAAAGGCTATTATGTGCAGTGTTGCTATAGGTTATTTATATATACATGACTGTACACTGTTGTTAGAGGGAAAATGTTATCATCAATTGACAGCACTGTTAAGAAACTTAGCTATTGGTCTTAATTTAATTCCATAAATGCCATCCTGTTTTCCGAGCAATTTTAAGTGTTCCCGATCCTCCAATCTCTGGGTGCAAACTTGACATCAAAATGTTTTCCTCTACTGTCTTGTACCACTCTGCTCTTCATTTAACACATTTACTAGCAAATATTCTTCCTACAATAGGAAGATGTACTCTTAAGAATACTCAAGGTAAGAAAAGGAAAAAAAAAAAAAGGCAAACCAAGACCAAACAAACCCAGTCAAGCACTGGTTCATGAAATTCAAATTCAAAAAATGGCACAAACTCTGCAGGAATTTCCACATGCAAATAGGAGCAAACAATCCTTACTGTTTGATAGAAGTATGATACAACAAACTACAGGTAGAAAATATCTATAGACTAGAATACTTTATTAGGAATTAATCAAAACATATTAATTTGTTGATTGATGATTGGTCATCTTGGCTGTCAGGCACAAAGTACCAAAAACAGTTTTCATGGCATATTGCTACAGTTAAATTTAGGACATTTTTGTATTGTGATAATTAAATATGAGAAATAGAAATGTATTTCAAAGAAAAAACATAGTCAAACCCCAGAAAATTATAATATTTAATATTAGCATTAAAAGATCTTCCCAGTCTCTAAATTTTCCCTCTCCTCCTTTCTGTAATTTCATACACACTAATCCAAATCACTCCACTACTCACCTCATCAGCCAGAGAAAATTATTTTGAAAAAAATTCTGTTCTATAAACTCCACTTCTCCTGTAAACAAACCCTTGCACTGTAAGTGACCTTTGGATTTATATAGATTTCTACATTTCTAAAGACTCTCCTCACCTAACTCTGCTCCCACTGAAGTCAGCAGGAGCGTTACCAATTTCAGTAGCAGGAAACCTAAATCAATACTTTCAAAAAGTATTATCCATCTGAACATCTCAGATAACCTCACAGACATTTAACTTCAGTTCTGTGAAGCCCTTCAGCCAAGAACCATTCCAGAGGCAGGGAAAAGGCAACTTAAGTTAATATGTCCAATGTCTCTGCAGGTTGGTTACAGACCCACAAACTGCCCCCAACAGGACAGAGCACCCCACTCTGTTATTCTCAATACTGAGTTCTTCCTATCTTGATTCCAGCTTCTCATCCAACCACTTGTAACAATTTTGAAGGCATACTTCATTAAACATTCTGTGTTTTGCAGTACAGTGCAGCTCCCGTTGCAAAAAGACTGAGCTAGATCAGGGCTCCAATGGCACAAAATCACTTGCTGGATCTCGGGTCTCTGGTAACTGTTTCCAGATGCTACAGGAGAAATCTTTAAAAATGTGTCAACAATTTTTTGTTCATGGAAAATGAACAAACACAGCACTGATTTTAAAAAACTGCAAACAACACAATACCAAGGAGGAAAAGGACAATATATTTGTATTTTAATAGTAGTAAGAGATCATTAAAAAAGTCTGCCAACCCTTGGTGCAAATGGTTCAAAAAGATCCCTCAATCTCAGCTGTTTTCACAGACAAGAGACTCTAGAAAAATCATTCTTGAGAGCAGAGTGATGGAAGTCAGAGGCTAACATATATTAGTAAAACTGCACAAAACTGAACTAACGAGCAAGGGCTGTAACATACCTTTGCTTCATACAAATCTAATGTTGAACTTAAAAGTGCAAGATAATGAAGTCTGGGTACTGTAAGATTACAGTAATGTAAAATTATAATTATAAGATGATTTCAGATACATGTTCTGGCCTACATTTAATCCCTCCCACTAATAATTTTAATACAAAGAACTCTAGATTGTAATGCTTTTTTAAATTGCCTTTCTTTGTATACTCCGAGATACTCAGAAAACCGTGTTACACTAAACAAAACCAATGCAGAGTTCCTTCAGCTTCTCTACTGTTTTTACATTTCTTTATTCACAGTATTAACTGACTTCAAGATGTAGATCAAATTTATTCCCAGGGGCAGCAAGGTTTGAGGAATGGGAAATATGTAACAATTATCCAACAGGAAACGCCTAAGTTTGCTGTGACTTCCTTCGCACACACCCACTCCCAGAAACTGCCTGGAAAAAACCACCCCAAAACCTTTCACAGAGGCAGCAAATTTCTAGCATTTCCTAGCAGAAACAGAGAAACACAAACACAATTTACTGAAGCATGGCCTTCTATTGGAAGGAAAGGAAAAAAAAAATCAGCTTCTGCTTCTCACATCAAATGGACTAAACCCCTTTCAGGTCAGCTATCCTTTTTGGTTCCCTTTCCCTGAACACCTTCAAGCCTTTCCTCTACCTCCAGCCTATCATTGCTTGTCACACATCCCTCTTTACCAAGTGTGGTTGGCACAAAGTTGTTTAGAGCAGGGGAAATACTTTCAAGGCAGTAATTTGCAAAGATTGCTGAGGAATTATCTGAGACACTGTAAAAGGGAACCTGGAGTTTCCAGATGAGTTAATACTCTACTTACTGACTCAAACAGAGCTGCCTACCTTTCCCAAACATGAAAATGCACTCCCTTCAGCTTTATTAGCAGTTTGCATTACTGACTTTAAAAGATTATTACTTCTGAGAATACAGTACATATTAAAACCTCATCCCTATTTGTGGTTGCTAACAGCACAGAGTAAATTAGCACTTCTTCAAATAAGCATACAAACATCAAAACAATATTCAAAAAATGTCTATGAGTAGGTAACAGCCATGTTTTATGAGTCCTCTCTTTCAAAGTAAAAGCATATGTGAGAAGGGGAAAGAAGATGAGAATAACACAATGAGGCTATTCTGCACATTTTCAAATTCAATTTCTTAAGCTAACATTTAAAATGAAAAAAGGAGTAGGCTTTTTACAAAAATCTGTGAAGAGATTTTGTACCACTGTACTAGACTAAGAGACATCAATTATTTTTGCCAACACCACTGAGGAAGTCATTCAACTTCTCATGGGTGGCTCTGAATCAGCTGAACATTTAGCAGAAGTCAAAATACCAAACACCTTATGTACCAGTTATGAGGAAACAAATATAAAACAAATAAGAAAACACCACCACACAATTTATATAAAATTGTTGTGTGATTACCTTTAAATATTGCATTCAGCTCTGGTAGCCCCTGCACTTCTGCACCATGACATGTTCAAAGGAAAACTACAGATCAACACATAGAGGAAAGTGGGCAGTGGCCAGCAGGGTATAGAATGTAATGTAACTGCACAGGTTAATATCATTCATCTTGGTAGTTGCTTACAGAGTGCAAATACCAAACACATGAAAGGCACAGGCAGCATTTACTCTGTTTCTCATGCTACAAGAAACACATGCAGGAAGTACAGAAGAGTAGGCTCAAAACAAAGTTCTGCACAATGCACAATCGTAGCTGGACCTCATTGCCACTGCATTTTGTTGAGTTCAAAATCAAAATTGTTTTCAAAAACAGATTTGACAAAAATTAGAAAGAACAGATTCACAGTCACAGTAAATATGATATTCCAGATACAACCATTTTCCTACTGGAGTTTGGTCTTGTGCTTCAAGACACATACTTCAAACTGAAACTTATTAGAAAGTATTCTTAAAACTGTCTTACTACAGAGAATATTGTGAGTATCATAACTCATAACCAAAAATTTCCTTGAAGTCTCTTCAGTGTATTCTTAATTATTATTTAGTTGAACCCATTTATAATGAATCACTACAGGTTTGCCTAACTTTTTTTTTTTTTTGCTTGTGTTGAATTATAGTCACAAAGGATTTTTTTTTAGAAGTATTTCTTCAAGTTGACATTTCTTAAGACTTACACGAATCCCATTTCTGGCAAATAATACATGGTCAAAATTGAATTTTGTTAACAATGGATAGCTAACTTAGTCAAGAGACTAACAAGTTTGAGTTACATCTTGAATAAGAAAGAAGACACAGCTAGTCTCAAATTTTGACTAAAAACACAGTCCCAAATCTCTTCATCTGTCCTAGTTTTGCAACAGCAACCTGCACATTATGACTGACTTTCTTCAGACTGATGGTCAACAGATTGTATTGTACCTGCAAGCCAGTAAAAAGTGGACTTTTGGAGGGACCTGTCCTGTTTAACACCTGCATTAATGATTTGGAAAAGGTATCAGACTTGCATATGACGCCATGCTGGGTAGGAACAATCAACATAGTCAAGACATGAACATCATTCAGATGGAGTTGGGCTACAGGAATGGCCCAACAGAACCTTCAGAGATTCAGAATCAACAAATGCAAAGTCCTGCATCCAGGAAGCAAATGCCCCTTAGGGCAGTAGAGGCTGGGACTGTCTGGGGAGCAACTCTGGGCCCTGGTGAGCAGTGAGCTGTCAGTGAACCAGTGCCCTGGATGCAGAGAAGGCCAACAGCCTACCCTATCAGCAAGAGTGTGGCCAATAGATCAAGGAAAGTTATTATCTCCTCTATTCTGCACTCACTAGACTGCATCTCAATTACTGCACCCACTTCTGGTCTTCTAAGGCAAGAAAAACATGAACAAACCCAACTGGTGCAAGCCCAAGGGAAAGCCACCAGGATGCCTGAGAGATGAAGCACCCAAGCACGAAGCTGAAGGGAAGAGACTGAGACTGAGGGGAGCTCAGCCTGGAGAAGAGGCAGCTTCAGAGGGATGCAGCAGCAGGATGCCCCTACCTACAAGGAAGTTTCTGAGATGACTGTCAGGCTCTTTGCAAGAGTTAATGTGGTAGAAGGATGAGAAAAAACAGACATGGGTTAAAACAAGCGTAAGTTGAATATAATGAAAAAAATTCAACATGAGGATAGGCATGGTAGGAAAACTAAATGGAGTAATTGTATGAGAGCAACTCTGATCTCACAGCTGACCACGTGTTTTGCACATAATTTTTAAATCTTTGCTATTGCCATGCTTCCAAACCATATGCACACATATGAACAGCTGTGTACTCACTCCTGCCTTGCTTTTGTTTCTTGGAGGTTAAAACTTCATCATTGTGTAACTTGAGTAGAGAAAAATAATTTTTGCACCATCCTAATGCCACACCAAATACTGCAGTTCCATAACAATTTAAGTTGACCTAACCTGGCTGTCAGAGTTCAGCTTTTCCTCCGTGCTACATGTTCATACCTCTTCTCTGGCATTCTTATGACTCCATAGTACATCAGTTCAAAGAAAAAAAGCTAGGAGGAAAAACTGAATTTCAACTTTTTAAAAATCAGTTTAGCTGCCTAACCAGTTCACTACCAGTAAAAATGCCAATACAAGAAAAAGGGTGGAACCATTTGCAGTCTGAATTCAGACTGGTGTGAATTGGTCATGAAACAACAGAGTTCCTAAAAGACACTGAAATCCTGGTTCTTGATGGGATCAAAGGCAGTGCTGCAACATACATGATTTCCTCCTCCTTATGATTTACCTATTAGAACAAGACAGACAGGACCAAGCAAGCAAAGTTGAGAAATGTTTGCCTGCTTTGTAAAGTTTTAATGTGGGGAAAGTTAGGAGGCTGATTTTGGTAGGTTGAAGGTTTTTTTGACTAACAATGAATCTTAACTGGTTGCTGTTGGATTATGAAATGCAAATGCTTGAGCAGTTAGGAAAATTTCTATTTATTCTAATACCATGATCTACTGGCTACTTGAATTTCAAATTAGAATAATGTAAATCAGTTAATTGCCCAGTCCTGTGAAAGATCCAAAACTTCACAGAACAAACCAAGGAAATATCTACATTCAAGTCAAAGGCAGCCTTGCCTTGGACAAGGCTAGAAGCAAACTTTCTATGTGATTAATACTTTTGTCATGCTTGCCAAAAGAAAACCAAAAAATATTTCATCCATCTCTGAGAGCCTTTACCTTAGGCATTTTGACCTTTTTTAAAGTTAATGAGGCGCTCATAAGGAGAGAGTTAAAAAATAATTGCCAGTGACACAAAAAACTACAATGCTGTCTCAAATACTGAGCAGAGGCAGTTTCATAGAAAAACAACACCTAAGCATAAACAATTGATTTAACAGTAATCTCCCACACTGTATGCATCTTTTGTACTGTAAGAGGCAAGCTGCCATATAAGCAATGCTTCAATAAATTCAGCTGAACTAGGAAGCTGCAATTTTACAGACTTCTAGAATTTCTTAGACACAGTATTTTTAACTGAATACTTCATAAAAATCACTTTCAGTATTTTGTTAGATGTAAAGTTTTTATATAGTTTGAGTAATGAAAAAACCTCAGGATTAGCTCATACAGTGAAAATATGGTCACTCCTTGCCAAGATAACCATTACATCTCCATTTTCCATTTATTATTCTTTTAAACTGAATAGAGAAGATTGCTCTTAAGAGATAGTCCAGATACAAATCTCTACTATACAATTACTTATGTACTCTCTTTCAATTTCTCAATGGAAGGCTCTTACTATCTCTCATAAATCAACCTACATCAGTTGCTCTTGTGAAAAATCTTGAACATAAATATTAATGCTTTGAGCTACTATTTTTCCTGCAATTCTACATAATATCCTTAGGTTCCTTTAGGAAATTACTTCATGTATCATTCAAGCTTTTAAAATAAAATGTATCTTCTTGGAGGCTAGGCTTCTGACTCTCATCCTATAAACATCAGTCATCTAAAACAATTTCCAGAAGTAGTGGAAAGTTTAAAAGTTGGCACATTGTAATTAAGTAGGAGTCAAACTTCTCATCTGTTGAAAATACCATTGGGTGTCTGCATGCATTTTAATGCTTTTCAAAATGCTATGTACAGAAAACAAATACAAGGAAAATTAACTTTCAGTCAGAATGTGTATGAGCATGGAGTTTGACTAACAAGAGGACAGATTTCCAAGCTCGTGACAGTCCATGCAATTCTTTTCTAGCTTACCTGCAGGCACTCAGCATGGCTCAAGTTCTACAAAGTATGTGGTTAGGGAAGAAAGAAAGGGCCATGATTATTCACAGTCCAGCAAAAATCTGTTTTCTGAGTTTTAGACTCCAGGAATTCCCCAGTAAATTTAAGAGAAGTTGGAATTTCCTGATCAGACATATATTACCTAAGGTAGGGAAGTGTAATTCTCAAAAGAGTTTTCAAAGGTGGACTTGGAGTTTTGCTGGATAGAATAATGATGGATTTAAATCAGTCATAAAAAGAGAGATCTGATCTTCTGTCAAGTTCTTGAAAAGGTATAAGTTAATCATCAGCACTATATGCTTGCTTAAAGAAAACCCATACTTTTAAATTTGGTTCGAAATATTTTTAACCCACTAACGAGTTGATCAAACCATGCTTTGAGTTGTCAGCATAACAAGCACCTCTTTCTGTGCCATACTATGAAGAACCGAATTTTGGTAGGTAAAAACAATAAGGAAGCAATGCAGGGTTTGTAATAAAATAAAACATTTGCATTCCTTCTTAAATGCAATCTGCATAGCTCTTCACTGACATTTTCAGTACGTGGTAATTCATTCTCTCCCAGCCCAACTTCTGTGTTTCACCAGTTTTTTACCCTGAAGAAAGAGTGGGAAAACTCTGCTCTTTACTAGAAATCCAAGTGAAAGTCCAAGTTCTGTCTTTTTTGCTGACTTCACTGCTTCATGCCACAGACACAAAAAGGATTTCTTTTTGCCCATCACATTTTCTCTCCTTCATCATACTGCTTTCTCTATATTAAAGTCATTGTACTTCCATCATTTGCATTTGCAATAAACAGATTGTAACAAGGTCTCTGGTTTGGTTTACATAAACTTACATAAATAGCAACAAGAAGTAGAGACCTCTACCAAAGGGTACCAGAGCAGTCTCCAGGTACCAGGGGAGAAACAGAACTGATTATTTTTTAACATTACAGTATTTCAGTAATTATCAGCATTTCTGCATCTACACTACAAGACATTCTGTCTCAGAGTCATTGCTGTTCTCAATAATCCGTTCATCCCAGCAGACATCTTTAATTTGGAATCCTAATAAACACAAAAAAAGCCCACCCAAACCCAAACCACCATATGTAACTTCTGATAATGAAATCAATATTCTTGGACAAGACTCTGCAGAAGAAATGTATGGCCTTGTGCAAGAGAGCCAAATAGAATTTGCAAAGCCTCCTTGTTTTTCCATGCCTGGATTATTCTTCCTGTTGACCCTCTGAAGCCAGCTGCTGGGAGATACACAAGGAAGCAGCAGTGCTTGGTGACCCTCACTGGCAGCCAAAGAATTAGTCTGGTTGATGGAGCATGGCAATCCACTGTGCCAGCTGAAAAAAGCCGGCTCTGGCATTTTTTGATTCTTTCGCTGGGCTTTGGGAAGACAAAATCTCTTCCTTTCACAGACTCGACTAGGAAGCTTAATTGATGTCCAAAGGGCTTTTACTGTACTGACATTTCCTATGCTTAAGGTATGAGCAAACTCCTTTATAAATGGCCCAAATACTTATGAATGGCTGAGTGTGCTGCAGAATGGGCAACTGCAGGGACAGGAGGGACACAGGCAAGAAGATGCATGTGGTGTGCTGCTCCTGTGATACACACTCTAGGCAGAAGGGTGGCACAGAGTCCATCTCTCAGAAGAGCAAAGTGGCACAGAGTATTTTTTGTAGAGCATAATTTGCAGTCACTAGGGGCAGAATGAGGTAGAGAGGGGTCAGGGAAATCCCTCAGCTGAAGTTAGGGGAGATGTTTGTAGCCTGCAAACTCCCCATTAAGACAATACAAAGACCTAAAAACCCCAGCCCTGACCTTTATGTCTTTGTTTCCTTCTGTTTTGCTGTTGTGGTCCAAAAAGCAGAACTAACAAGAACCATACAGCACAAACCATGCTCCTTCTGGCAGCCACCACCAATCTTAGTAGTGTTGTTAAGCTGCCAACAAGCTAAAATGTATTGAGGATTTCAGAGCATTGAAAAACATTGCATTCTCCAGCTGCCATCACCCTAACCTACCTTTATTCCATACTATTCACACAGACCAAGTGATATATTCAAACAGGCTAAGACCCACTCTCTTCATCACACTCCTATCTGCTGCTTATTCACTCCAGCTATTTTCTGAATGAAAGAGAAAAGATCAAAAATTAGGAACAGAGGGCACTCAGGACATGGCAGCTGAAGCTGGGAACTGCGGCTGATAAAAATCTGAGAGGAATTTACATAGATCACAGACAGTGCTCAATTGGCTAAATGCTTCTAGCGAGAGGCACACCTCTCAATGCTATCTAGGGGACAACGATTACATTTCACAGCAACTTCAACAGTATCTTTTCTCTTTATTTATTTGTCTGCTTTTCCCCCCTCAAGTTTTTCTAATG